GAATTGTGAGTAGTGTGCCGGGCCATAGTTGGGATTGAGAAAACAAGGGCTAGAAGGGTCTTTGGGGTTGAGGTTAATGGTTTCTGGTTCTTCCATTTTACTGGCTTCGATACCATAACAAAAATTGTAATTTAAGGAGAAAGATTGAGAACAGAGCAGGGAAAAAAATTGCTTCAATGTATTTCCATCTCTCTTCCTTACATTACAACATAATATATCTTTATATAGCAATGTACAAAATCGTGTAAATAAGGAAATCAAATCCTAACAAGGAAGGTACAAATATTCTAACATAATTACAGCTCATTCATTTGCATTTATTATGGGAGATTCTCTGGTCCCTAATTTTAGCCGAGGAGCTGTGATCATTCGTGATTTTGGCAGTTGAATTGTATTGCTTTGGTGGCATATTTTGAGTAAATTTCATCAAAACTCAAGATTGCACAATAAAAGAGTTAATTGCTAAATCTAAAGATGCAAAAATTATATTGTAGAATATGCCACGAGTTGAGCAAGGCTCGTCTCGGGAAATTGTTTTGTTGATTGGCTCGACCCTCCATTCATTCCTATACGAGCCTAGGGGTCCATGGATCAAATTCAGAAGAGTCAAGCCTGTGAGCAGGCTAGCGGTTTTTTCCATTTCCAATCCCTAGGTGGATGATATATGTTTATGGGAAGAATATGATGGTTCTACCATGGATTCTTAAAAGGTTATTAGAAAGAATAATGTTATTTAGCATCGAAGGTTTTTAACACTAAGTTTAATTTTTAAGAGCTAGTGTCCATCGTAATAGCATCAAGGAGACATAGTCAAAAATAAAAAAAATAAAAATTCGCCCGTGTAGTTCAGATAATAGTCCCTATCGATGCTTATTAAAACAAGAGAGATACTATGCTTACACAATAGTGTACACTCAAGTTTACACCTCCTCATATGGAGGGGTCTGTGCACAATAAGTTATGTGCATAGACCCCCTTCTGACGCACAAGTATCATTCTCCATTGAAACAAATATACATACCAAATGAATATTTGTGTGTCCTTACCTGCATGCCATTGTCAAGCTTTCTCCTGCAAAAAGACTTTAAAACTGATAAATGAAGAAAAATAAGAATGCAACATACTGTCCTCATTCATATATTTAAGAGGGGTATTTCAGTCGCACACAGCGTGGCACCGTCGGCCGGACAGCTTCTTGTGCTGCCATGCCGGTGGAGCCGCGCTGTGTGCGCCTAAAACGCCTCCTCTTTTACCCTGGCTCCATTCTCAATCTCCTTGAGTTTTCAAAGTGCCACAAACTGCTATTGGTAATGTGAACACTACCCAGGAAAAAGCTGAGCATCACGTATTTATACGGGAATCGTTTACGATAAGGTTGGTTATTGAAATCTTGATCGAGCTGAAAATAGAGAAGAAATTGCCACGAGAGGCCGACGTATTAAGTCAGAAAAATGGCGGTGTAATTCGTATAAACGAGACACGTTAAAGGTCGCTTGATCATGGCAAAGGACAAGTGGCACGTTTACAGAAAACTATACCTTTCATCAAATAATATTAGGTTATTGGTCGGCAGGTTCATAAATTATTAAATTTGTTATGTCTACACTACAGTGTGGTTGGTTTGGTTGTTACAGGATGACATTGTGAGAATTCAATCCTTTGTTCACATTGTGGACCCTAATATTTAAATGAAATAGTTGACGTCTTATCACAATGTCACACAAGTGACAAGTCTATTATTGACGTGCCAACTTTCTTGAGCTTTCGGCCATAGACAAGCGTGAGCTAGCTCCTTATAAATGGTCTTATGACTTTGTGGAGAAATAATTGTCTAACTCTTCATTTATTAAATATTGCATGTATCAGACATTTAATCGAAAATTAAATCCATTACGCGTGAGACCATGTTGAAAACAAAATATACTCCTCCACAACATGTTAAACTTTCTGGTAAATTTTTCAAAGTTAATTTGCGCAAAACATCCTTATCATTTGTCTTTATTGTGCAAAAATCGTCCATATCATTTCACTTTTGGTATTTGAACCCTCAAATTGACTATTCTTTGCATATATCACTCTTGCTGTCTCATTATATCCATTCTCTCTGTTAAATAATTGTGTGCAGTCCACTCGTGTGATTTGCTCAAAGATAATTTGGTAAAGAAACTAGTTGGCCATCTTTTCCAAAAATTCGAGGTTTGGCATGTTGAAGAAAAATTTGAGATTTGCAACTCAACACAAATTTCGAATTCTGGGTGATATCTCGAATTTGTCGTAGTGAGTTAGCAAGTTAAATCTCGAGTTTACTATGAAAATCTCGAGTTTTGAGAGATGACTTGTCAAGACAAGTAGAATCAAGATTTTCCTAGCAAACTCGAGATTTGACTTGCTAACTTGTCAAGACAAATCGGAGACATCACCCAGGACTCGAGATTTGTGTTGAGTTGCAAATCTCGAGTTTTACTTCAAAATTCAAACCTTGACCAAACTATCATTGAGCAAATCACACGAGACCATTTGATGGAGCATATGAACAGAATGAGACATAGCGCGATTTATGCAATGAATGGTCCATCTGAGGGTCCAAATGTCAAAAGTAAAGCAATTATGGACGATTTGCACAATGAAAATATACAATAGGAACATTTTGTGTCAATTACCGGTTCCTCTAGGAGTTCCCCCAATTTTTAGTAAGTGTGGTTAACCACGTTCTCAACATTTCATTTGTGGCACTCATCTCCAACCTTTTCATATTGCACAAGTAGTATATCCACCCATAAAAGATGTCTAATTACGCCAAACGACAGCATAAATGACTGTGACAGAAATGGTAAACTATTCAAAAAGAGTAACATTTAGCATAATTTAAACAATCGCCATTTGGTGTTTAATGGAATGAAGCAAACCTTTTATTGAGCAATTTTACCCTTTCTGTCATATGTCTCATGCATGTTATATGAACACCTAACGTTTGAATAGATATTTTTCATTAAGTGGAGAAAACACGCACACGATGTTAAAAGGTTGGAGATGAGGTACTACAAATGAAGAGTTGAAAATGTGGCCATCGCAATGTAAAAGATTGTGGTCCCCCGAAATGAATTTATCCTAAAACTTTTCTACAATACATTGATCGAGGTAGATTTATGTTTGATCGCCTCGTATTACATGACTTCACCCAAATAAATGAGATGTCATTGATGAAGCCTTTCTAAGCAACCTAGCCCATGTATGAGCTCTATTTTTTAAAATTAACATTTTTTTCTCAAAACTCATTCTCGACCACATTTTTCACAATAACATTACATGTAAATTTAGTTTTTTTCTCATTTTTTAATCACATTCTTCAAAAATTTAGGATCTGTTCTCTTTATCATTTTCAAGCCGTTTTCTGTTTTCGATTTTCCAAAACAGCGAAAACGTATTCTCTTTCCTATTTTCGAAAACGCGTTTTTGAAAATAAGTTAAAAATTTACAAAGAAAACACAAAGCGGCAATTTGTCGTTTTGAGCGTTTTCAGTTATAATCAAGCCAAAATTTTCAAAACGCGTTTTGAGTGTTTTCAAAACAATTTTTCAAAAATGTCAAAAAGAACACATTTTCAACAATCTCAAAATGAACACTCAAAATACAAAATTCAAAATAAATTCAAAATACAAAATTGAAATACAAAAAAAACAACCTCTTACTATCTCAAAATATATTTTTCCTCGAAATCTTATTTTGGTGGAATCCAGACACTAATAAAGCGTACGTATAACGGTATAAGCAGTTATTAGTTGTACTGGTCAACGTACATAGTCAACACTAATTTGGCCCACTTTTTATTTTTATTCTTAATTAGCGATTGACCTGATCAGCCAATCAGGTGGTGCTTGAATGGGTGCGGGGGGCGTGGTCTAGCACGGCGCCTGCCCACTTGACGTGATTAACAATCTAAAGCTCTATAAAAGTCAGAAATTGACAGCCCAATTCATTTTTGCCGTGTCGGGTCGGGTCGGGTGGATGAGGACTCTGGCCTTGAAATTGACATGTATCTATTACAAAGACATACATATATATAGAACTAGTGACGTGAAGAATTCCAAATAATCTGAGATAATTTTAAACCTTAGTGATAGGGAAACTTTGGTCGGCAATATTTTTCGTCAAATAATTGTTTCTTTCCTCTTTGTGATGGCATCACCATAGCTCAATAGTTATGGGTGATCTATTTGAAATCTATAGATACTGTTTCGTGTTCGGAGGATACGGGCAAGAAAACCCCGTGAATTAGTGTTAACTGAAAAGGTCATGCCTTTTTGCAGAGAGCGGTATCATTGTTGTAATTGCTAATACTCTCTAGTTACTTTTTATATTTCAGTATGTGTAGCAGAGAATATCAGATTGGCACGGAGAAAGCGATGCAAATTTATCGAGAATATGACTTAATAGTTGTTAAAACTTTGAGAACTGGATTCCTAATGCAGAGGAGATATTACATGGATTATGTTCTCATTCTTATGCTGGATAAGAGGATTCTCCTTTGACAAGGCTGTGTGTGTCTCACAAGTCACAACGTGCGTTACTTGATAAGGCTCGATGTCTGTCTCACAAGTCACAATGTGTGTTACTTAAACATGCTGCCTCTTTTTCCCTTACGTTTGTCCATCTTTTCTTCTCCCTAGCTAACTTTCTTCGACCTTGTTCTTTATAGTCGTCTTTCGCTTAGCAATACATGTTTAATACATACAAGTTATTAAATACAACTCGACATTACAATTAACAAATTGTATACCGAATCAGAGCACAACTAATCAGAAGATAATCATCACTAACATTATCACACTGGTTTACATATGCATTAAGATCTCCATATAGTGCCTATTTTTCCTCTTTTTTTTTGCTTTCTGCCTTTGATAGTCATTGATTGTCTCAAATTACATCTTTGAACGAGTTATTTTGATGGGGTTTCTGAAGCCTAAATTAGTATTACAGTCTAATGATGACAAAGTTTTCCTTCAAAAACTATTGCAACTACTGCTTTCTTCATGATTATCTGATTCGATTTCTGTGATCCCACTTGAACCCGAGGACGAGGATACAGGTAACAGATTCAAATCAGTCCTGTCCTTGGCCATGAAATCATAGAAAACCGGCATAGATTTTCCTACGATAGGCGCCAATCTGCTTCCTTTTTGCACTGGTGCTGCCTGGTCATCATTTTTGTTGCTTCTTCTCTTCAAAAATATTCGACAAACTACCCAGTTTTCCTGCAAAAAATTGAAATGAACAACCATTAAAATTGCTTCTACTGGTTTACATAATCTAGTTTGATTGAGTTGAAATTAATTTGAAATGTTACCTGGGCTAAATTTCTCCCTTGAGGGATAGTGGTTTGTGCCTGAGCAAGGCGATACTCGTGCATAATCCAATCAGTTCTGCATCCAGTTGGAGGCTTTCCTGTGTAGAAAACTAGAGTTTTCTTCATCCCAACAACCTGGTGGCTCCTTGAACTCACGATTTTCTTGTCAATTCCAGTAGCCTTCCAATAGCCTGAACCAGTGGCCCGGTTTGATCGGTTACCATTCGGGTATTTTACCTCCCTCGTGCTGAAAAAGTACCTCTCTTGCTCTGAATCACCTATATATAAACACACAGAAAATCAACTAAATGCTGCACGTGAGCTCAGAAGATCCAAGTTATGGTCTACTTTTGTTCTAATTCAGAACCTATGCGGCATTTGGTCGAACATATTGCATACAACCCATAATCTTAAAAATTCACAGAATAAAACGAAAAAGACAACTAACCTGGCAAATCCCAAGGATCAGACTTGTTCACATCGACCTCCGGGATGATAGAAGCTGGGAGAGGATAGGAAAGAACCTTGCGCTTCAAATATTGTCCCACAAGTTCTTCATCAGTTGGATGGAACCGAAATCCAGGAGGCAATCTCAGCACACCATTCTTCACAAAGTTAATTTTCTCCATTTCTTCTTTTTCTTTTACTAAACACTTCAATTCAATTCTTCAAACTCTACCCAGAAAGTATAATCTTTGAAATTTAGTAATTCTCACATAACCCATCAAATTGAAGCATACATATTATAATATAAGAAGAAAAACACTCACACAAGAACTAGAGAAGAGCAAGCACAAAAGAAAAAGGCAGAGGGAAAAGGGAAGAGATGGGTGTCTAAGAGGGAAAGCAAAGCTTCTTTATAGTAATGAGGATGTGGAGCGAGAAGGGGTACTTTTAGAGAGAGAGAGAGAGAGAGTAAAATATGGACGCAAATATTTGGCGTAAACTTGACTCTGTCTCCTGCTTTGACGTTTGGACTTTTAACAAAGTCGAAGAACGAACATGGCCATGGCTTGTTCCTCTGCAAAAAGGTTAAAATTTCGACAAATAGACGATAACGAAAATTCCTAAACTAATCTTTGTTGGGTTCGCAACTTGTTTTATGGGAATAATCGTAGCTGTTTAAACAACGTTTCCTCCTCGCGCTTTACAAAAATGTAATCTACGATGTTTTGGTCTTGTTTCCTCATAATGTTACTTTTCGAATATTAATATTTTCAAAAAATAACTTTAAATAAATTTGTTTACACATCTTAACATAAAGTTCTACACATGTTCAATGTTTAATGAAAAATAAAATTTTAGTGTACATAACAATGCACGACACACGATGAATTCCCAAACTATACAACAATTTCACGAGTTATATTGTAATTATTTTGCATCACATTCCTTTTTAGAGCAACTCCAATTATGATATAAAATAAAGATTTAAATCTTCAAAGTGATCGATAACCTCTCCAATGGTTTGCAAAGAAGATACAAATTGCATTTTAATGTAGAAAATGTAAAAAGTGAATTTAGATCTTTTTTTTGAAGCGGGAGATTTAGAAACGTCGGGATGTAAATGATTACGTAAAAGTAGTTTTAGAGATATCAATTTACACCTAATTTTATACCACCATAAGAGATGCTCTCATAGACAGAAAAAATCTAATTTTATATTAACGTATATTGGGGGTTTAAATGGAAGGCGATGAAAAGTAAACAAAGGAGGTCTAATATGGAATTGAAATTCTTCAATTATCCTGGATTTTAATTGGTGATGGGACTTCTTTGGACTAAGGTATTTCACGTTTGTGCAGATTTTTTATGAATTTGAATTGTGTTTTTACTAAAATACCCCTATCAGAAAGATTAAGGGCCTATTTGAAAGTTTCTTTCACGATTTTGACCATTTTTAGGTGGCAATGTATATGAGAAATTGAGAAACTCAATGCTTGATAGTATTTTGGACACTGATTTAGGGTGGTTCCAGTATATCGTAATTTGGGGTGTTTTCTCAGCCCATCAAATCGATAGCTTTTTGCTTCTTTTCAAATTTATTTATTTTTTAATTCTACTATCTCTAAAACAATTATTTTATAAGACAAAAACTCAAAAATAAATACATAAATTATTTATAAAGAAATTGCAATAACTAAAAAAAATTACTTCTAAATGAAAAAGTACTTTTATAACTAAATAATTTCATGCTAAGTAAAAAGAAAAAATACATATATGACAAAAATTCGCTTTTATGTAAAAATTGCTTATAAAGTGAAAATATTACTAATAAGATCAAAATTCACTTATATGTAAAAATTATTTATAAATTAAAATGTCAATTATAAGAAAAAATTTTGACTTTAATTTAAAATTAACTTATATTTAAAAAAAATACTTAAAAGTAAAATATGTAAAAAAAATCATACTCTTATAAATTGAAAATTTCATTAATTAACAGCACATTTACTCAATATTGTTAGCACATCTACCTTTTTGAACCTCTACTAAATACCACTCAAAACCAGACCCTTTACAAGCGCCCAAATTGATACTACAAAAACTCATAATCAGTACCCCAAAACTCTTAACCGGGCTCTAAGGGACTTGTTAGGGTGAAGTCATCTTATATCATGCTTGTATAGTTAGAAAAAAAATATTTTTCTTTCTTTTTCAACTAGTAATTAGTTTTTTCGTTATTATTCTCTCTCTTTTCGACAAGCGTTGTCTTTAGTTGAAGGAAATTGTTTGGAAAGAGTGGTTATGAGAACTTTATTGTTCCGTGTTGCATTGAATATGTAACATTATCAGACATGACACTAGTATGACATTGACCTCAAACTCGAATTAGTCGGGGAATGCTTGCGAGAGAGGGACAGAGTTGGTTTGCCTTGTGCGTATTAGCACAAACAACCACAACACCACACGAAATTGCATTTTACCACTGCTGGCAAAATCGTGCCAAATTCTTTGCAACACCCTAGGGACCAAATTGGGGAACAAAGCTACAACGTATGTAATATGCCATATATTACCCTTTAATGGCTAGGGAATGGAATACATCTTAAAGTGACCCTTTTTTGTTGCCAAGAGCTAGAAGGAAATTTAAGAATATATTCTTTCGTAATCATCAAACATTATTCCACTTCTAAATAAAGATATACACGTAAAGTATGTGTTTATCGGTTGCATCTACCTATAATTATTCTCAAGCACATTGATTTTGAGGATGCGGTTTTTTAACTGCTTTTCTTGATAATGTGTCACTGTATGCTAACGAAAAAATAGTTCAGAATCGTTTTTAAAGTAGACCAACATGTTAATAGTTGCGTTTTAGAAAAAAATGTTCACACTAATGAAGAAAACATCTCAAAAACTATAGAGGAGACCTTGCTTTGTAGAATATTATCATTGTTGCAAAGGAAGATATCAAAAGCACTTTTCTAAATAGATTCTTCAATGTATGACACATTTTGATGTGAGAAATTTGCTTGTATAATCCTACTTTAACACCCAAAAAATTATCTTTATATTTTTCGAAACCTTTCATGCGCGAAGCATGTATATCTAACATTATTAATTTCTTTTATGTTTACCTATATAATTGTTAGCCGTTTCATCTTAAAATTTAAGCTACTAAAGAGGATACATGTCCAACTTTTTTATAAATAAATAGTGACGAAACTTAAACTGGTGTCTATTTTTTACTGTAGTATTATGTTAATCATCACAAACTCAACTTTTACGATAAAACTTACGTATTTTCATTTAAATTTCATCTTCGACAACGTCAAGTTACAAGATTTTGCAATTCTAGGAGGGACCTAGAAATTGACAATGCGCTGGAGATTCTTCACAAGAAGAAGCCATTGGCACTATTCATTTATTACCTTATCCTTTTATCTGGTGGAAAGAAAATGATATTTTTTGTTTTCCATCAATTAGTGAGGACAATATTGGCAATAAATTGTTGGGTTAGGAGTGGTTAGGGAAATAAAGTTTGGAGGGCCTACTGGCTTATTATTGAAAAGACAGATATGCCCCTGGATTATTTATAATCACTCTAGTGTATGTTTGATTAAATTTTAAAATTAAATAATTATAAGTCACGAGTCTTTGAAACTATACTAGGCAGAAAAGTTCTTTAAGCTCTCAACAAAGGAACAATTTGACTTTTTAAAGTTGAGAGGGATCCCATGCAGTGGGTCCAGATGCCACTTTTAAATCATTTAATATATTTTAAAAAAATAATAATGGCATATCCGCAAATAGAATGAATTATTAGGGAGAGTTGTGGAATTTTACGAAACAAGAAACATGAAGTTGGGATAACGTGGGACGGACGGCTGAGATTTTTAGTTGAATAGGAGCCTTAAATATTGACAATTCAATGAAATTGATTCCGTATGGAAAACGGAATCACGATTTTTTGAAAAATAAAACAAAATAATGGAGTAAAATTAGAAAATAAAAATATAATTTTGAAGTTATTATGGAGATTTCCACTAGTTGGTCCCGGACCTTTCAATAGTTGTGCGTAATCATTTTCTAAGACCAAACTTTTGTTCTTCTATTCTTTTCTTTTCTTTTTTTTAATGGAGAAGTGGAGGGTGGTACCAATCGGTGAACACTCGACTACAGTTGTAAAAACAAAAGTTCCTAACAAATCTGGACAAGGAGAAAACATTTGTTAATTTCAGCATAGTACTTGCATGTTCAATTTTGTGAAACTAATTTTGGCTTCTCAACTCGAGCTGGTTTACACAAGTTTGAAGTTAGGATATTTTCGTAAGATTCGTGCAGTAATTTAATAGAGATTTGGATGGTTTCGTTGTCGATGAATGATATTGAAACTACAATAATACATCGGAAACTAACTCATTTATTTTTAAAGGTTAAGGAGTAAATTGAAACCATGAAAATAGATTGAGAACCAATTATGTAATTTCATTTTTTAATATATTTTTTTAGGACTTAGGAGTCGAGGCGTTTGCGTGTCGGTATTGAAGAGGATTTTTGGGGACAAACAGAAAGAAACTTCAAAGGTTGCAATTATTGTCTTTTTTGAGTGTTTCCATATCACACATGTTTGTGGGCACTTTATAATTTAATAATTAGTATTGCATATTATAATTCATTTTGACTTAATTCTTTTGAAAATATTATTTAAGAAAGTTGAAGATTGTTAACTTAAAACGTACACGTATTTAAATTTTTTGACTTGACTCGTTTTTCTTTTGAAGACATTCGAGAAGTTCAATTCAATTGGCTGGACACTTAATTCGAAAAGTAAGTAGTTTTTGTTTTGAAGACATCCGAGAAGTTCAGTTCAACTAGCAAGTAATTTAATTCGAAAAGTAAGTAAAACAAATTTGAAGTAATTTTCAAAATTTATTCATATTCTTCTGATTGATCTGACTTTTTCCTTGTAGTCGCCCTCATTGGAAGATTTCGACAACGTAAGGGGATCTTAAACCCTTATTTGATGAAGGTTAAAATCAAATTTCTAATAAATTTTAATAAAAATTAATAAAATGAAAAAAGTTGTGGAATCCATGAATAAGTAATTAAAATGAATTGTCTAATTTGATTTAAATTAAAATCTTGATTTCAATCTCTACAGTTAAATAATATAAACTCATAC